TTGCAAACAAGCTATGGTCCACTGGGACAAAAATTTCTGAAAGCGGTCTTGAGCGGTAAGAAAGCCGTAAACATTGACGTTGTGTACGGAGTTTATTTTAGCAACGAGGGAACGATGCTCGGCGACAAACGTATCGCCTTGGACAAAAACGATGATATAATTATAAATGGGGAAAGATACGAGGGAACACTGGGTCTGTACGAATTAATTTTCATGAAATTTCCCAATGAAGATATATGCACGGATGATGACATGCAAACCTACAAGAGCATTCTGTTGACAACAAATATAGACGCGGTCATAGCGCGGATAGTCAAGCACTAGGTAATAAGCGGTACAAGTATAAGAATATAATCGCGCCATTGGTGTTGGATAAAAAAGTTGGAACGGGTATAAACAAAAGATCCGATATACCGCGCGCCATGACACTAAACGATAATAATATTGAATACATTCATTGGGACGATCCCAACGAACTTGTTGATCGTCTCCGATTGCTCGAGGCTTCGCGCCAAGCGGGACATAATGGTCACGACAACGAGATTCTGTCGATTATCAAGGAACTTCGAGAAGCCGGTCTCGTTATAAATTGACATAGCGCGATACGCGTCATTCAGTCAATATCGAAATGCCGATCAGCAAGTTTGGACTATCGCTCGGAGTAGGAGGAAACGTATCGTACTATCAGTGGAGCGGATCGCTCAGAAATTACGTACGCGATAACGCTCTTTGCGCAGCCGACTTTGATGCAATGTCACGCAAGAATCGACGTTTAGCGCTACCAGTGGATGATGGTGATGCAGCAAACAAACGATACGTGCAGCAGAGTGTTCAAAATTTGAAAGATCGGCTTGATGAAATCGAGAGGAAGATGACATCATTCCAAAATAATGTGCAGGTTATGCTAAACGAATTTGAAAAGATGATTCGAGAAGTGAATAATCGTAATGACTGAGAAATGATCGCTGGTTGATGAATTACACGCTGCAGAAGAAATTTACCAAGAAAACGCGTCATAGTACACGGATACGATGACCTGTGGCAGGTGGATGTGGTTGAGATGCGTCCGTATACACGCTGCAACAGAGGTTACCACTACATTCTCATCGTTATCAATGTGCTGAGTAAGCACGCATGGTCCGTACCACTCAAAGCCAAGAACGAGGTGACGAAAGCGATTGCAAAGATAATTCGAGACGATGGAAGATGTCAAAAATTTGCAGACCGACAAAGGAAAGGAATTTTACAACTCGAATGTGCAAAAACTCTTGAAGAAATACAACATCAATCATTACTCTACATATTCTGTAATGAAGGCATCGGTCGTTGAGCGGTTCAATCATACGTTGAAGAATGATATGTGGAAACAATTTACGCACAATGGAAACTATAGATGGATTGCCACGCCTCATATCAGATTACAACGCGCGAAAGCGAACTATCGGTATGAGACCCATCGATGTTATCCCTGCGATCGCCGACAGGCTCTTAACCACGGTGTACAATCATGGAAAGATTGTCGCACCCGCGCGATTCAAAGTGGGTAACTCGGTTCGCGTGAGCAAATTCAAGACGATCTTTAAGAAAGGATACACGCCGA